TCTGCTCTCCCCAAAGAAGGTTGGATGGAGGGGCATGAAGTGCCTGGTTGAAGCTTTTTTTTTTTTCCAGGGGGAGCGGTTCTGGTTGGGTTGCCGGCGCGGGATGGGTGGGCCCCGGTCCCGGGGAGGGGCTCTTGCTGGGGGTGGTCCGGTCCGTGTGCAGCGTGGGGGGCCAGGCTTGAAGCAGGAATGAGATGTGTTGGTGTGGCGGTGTCGCCGCTCCCCTCCCCCCACATCTGGATTTTAGGTTCACTTATGGGGTCATCCGATAGTCCCTGGACCGACCACTGGTGTCACCGGGTTTTTGGTCCTGGTATTATTGGATGTGAGTGTTATGTGTGAATGTGTGTCCGCGTTGTTATTTTCTTTATTTATTATTATTTTATTCACATTTTTTTTTTTCTCTGTGGTACGAGTGGGGGCACTAGGGAGGGAAGGCATGATTGAGATGGTGTGTTGTTTTTTTTTTTTTTTCTCCCAGGTTGGGGTCTCAACCGCACCCTCTCCCAAATACAACTCAAGTCTCCGCTAAGTGCGGAGCCCATTCCCCCCATCCTGCTCTCCCTCCGCTGGCTGGCGTCGGGGGGCTGCTGGCTCATTCCTGGCGGCCTCTCCGCTGGCCCCGGCCGGCCTTGGCTTTGCTGGGGCTCCTGTCTGGGGGTCGGGTGCCCTTGGGGCCTCGGGGCCCGGGACTGGATCCACTTCGGGGTGGGGCTGGCTGTTGTTCGGGGATTTTCAGTGTCTGTGCCGGTGCCTTCGCTACGATGCCGGTTCCTGGGCGGTGTTTTTTTTTCCTATGCCGGTTCTGTGGTATCGGTTCGGGGGGGGAGGGAGCTGCACGGCATGGTGGGGTGCGGGTCTTGGGTTCTGTTTTGGGCTCCGGTTTTTCCGCTCGCACTTCTCCTCTTGCATATTTATTTTAATTGTAATTATTAATTTATTAATTAATGAATTTATTTACTTATTTATTTATTTTTTATTTATTTTTTTTTACTCTTTTTTCTTTCTTTTCTTTTTCTTCCTCGGTGGGGGGAGCGGTTGCGGGCGGGTC